GCCAAGCGACTAGGTTCCGAGGTTGGTCGAGATTTAAGGCGGAAAGAGAACCAATCAGCTAAGTCAAGCTGTCAAAAGCGAAACGTTGCCTAGCAATAAATCTACCGATTGTCACCAAACGTTTTCGAAAACGATGACCATTCAATCGGTTCCAAGTAGTTTTCACGTGACTGAAAGAGAAACCTGGTTTGTGCGGTCGGAGAGTTCACAGTTTCATCTATGAAAATATACTGCAATATCCCGAATATCGTACCAATTGAAACATGAGGCGGCCTTTGTACAACACATTCATTTGGGGAACATCATAAACGAGAGTTTCAGTTGAGTCTCTCGTGAAGACCAAAACTGATATGCAAATGAATGTATTTGTCGGGAACTTCTGTTTTTCTTGTCTTTTCTTGTCCAGCGGATACTACGTTACAGAATATATGAAATATTTTGCGGAAACAAGTGCTCAAGTGATTCTCACGCATCTGCCAGAACAGATCCATTGTTTGTCATTTGCCTCACAGGTCTCTTTGTTTTCCTGACTGGAGCTCGAGATTTTGAGTCTGAAGCGTTTTCCATCCAAGTATTGATTTGTATTTTCCATCGCGGCTCTTCCACATAACTTTCCCAATGTTAAGGCATGTCACCTTGAACTCAATAACCCAGTCAGAAACGGATTCCACGTCTGCAAACTTTCTAAAAGTTCTTATATTAAGAATCCCCCATTCTGTTCAACTTCTGAAATCCAGTCAGCTTGCTTGACTCCCCGACAGTGTGGTCCTCATCGATCTGTGTCAAAGTTTCTCTGATAGCCGCTTGCAAACTAACCATTGAGCGGAACATCTTAAAAAACAGAGATTCGACTGAATTCAGTTCAGTCTTTTGTCAAAACCAAACGCGTATTCAAGTGAAAATATTTGTCCAAATCTGTCGAATTTGGGTTCACTTAGAACAAAAGGTTGACGGAAATTCCGAGACTGTGCCCATCTGTTGAGTCCGAAGTTGGAGGGCAAAACCGGACATGGACTATCGAAGAGTTTTCAGCAACCCTATAAGTAGTGTTTTCCGTTTGGGCGATACTCGGCAATAACTTCGCTCAATTTGAATTTTCAGCGCTGGCTAACCCAAGCTGAAAGACTGATCGCAGAACAGAAGCAACCTCCAAACGGACGCGCGGATTTGGAACGCTGGTTTGCGGAGGCCGAGGAATCACGTGGGTATCTGGGCCCCAATTCCGACGTGAATAGAATCACAAAGTTAAAGAGTCGTCTGGCACATGTGAATCGCGAGGTCAGTTTTTCCACGAGTTTTTGATTGTGTAACATGGAGCAGACAGCTGGCTTCTTTACAACAACGGTCTTATTGATTTGAATCGCTCCGATTGGTCGAATTTCGGTCCGTCACTTTGAGCCTATCAGAAAGCGTGTGCGTTTGGTGTCCCAACGAGTTAATCTAAACAGCTCTGAGTTTGAATTTAGTTCATTTCACTCCTGTTTGAACACCTGGCCGGAAGCAAGTAATCTGGTGAGTCCACATCAGACAGGAGATAGGTAATTACAACATATAGGTGAGCACAATTTGACCCCGTACTAGAACTGGTAGACATCCATGCCTTCAGCATGGATGGCCCGCAAGTCTGAGTGAAAAAACGGTGGCAGTAGTTACCTAGACGCAGCCCACTACTCATAAGGTTACTGGAAACTCTTTGACAGCCCACAACCGATCTCGCCCTCCAACGTCGGGCTCATCAGTCCCCGAGTATCGGTGAACCTTGTGTTCTACTTGAACCCAAATTGGACTGATTTTGACAAATACACTTATTTGCAAATCAATTTGATTTTGACGGGAGAATCAACTGAATCCACCTGGATCCCTCATTTTTCCATGATCGTCCGCTTTAACAGTGTTTTGTACAGTCTAGTGGGCTCCTGATGCACAAATAAAGACAGATCAAAGTGATTTATAAAAGTGAAAAAAACATGATAGAGCGTGAATCCCACAAAGGGATACGTCAAATTCGGTGTTCGGCGAGATCCACTCTTTTGACATTAGACAGTAATTATGGGTCTGTTTAGGACTAACAGTCGTGGAAATTGAAGAAAAATGAGACTTCTGTCTTGCGGTTGTTCTAGTCAACAATCAATTACAGATTCAAAGGTTTTATTTGTAAAATCAAACGCATCCTCTAGACGATGTTGATTTCAAACGACAAAAGGATTGCCTCCGGCAAAAATAAAGACAAAATTTCATTTTCAGTGAATGGAACAATGACTGACGTTCGTCATTTTGAGCTCCAGAGATCCTGTGAGGCTGTTTGAACTCCGTCGATTTACTCTAATTTTGATGCAAACTCCACAGCGTTAGTTTGGCGAGTTGCATTAGGTTATTCCACTGTACGTTTCCCATTTGAATGTGTCTTTATAGCAGACATCTGTTGACTAAGAAAACGGCTTATTGGCATAGAGAACTTGACACTTGCTGACTGAGTTGGATATTTCATTTAATGGTGCACCGACAGCTTTTGCTTTTATCAAAGTATTTATCAATCCCACGAAGGATGATCGAACAATCGGTATGGAAATTCGGAAACCTTTATCGTGAAAATAAACTTAGTTCGCGAAATGCGCAGTCAAGCACTGCCTTCATCATGATAAATTCCTTTCTGATTGGCAGCTTCTTGATGTTCTTGACATACCCTCTGTTCAATAAATGAGTATCAGTTGGCTGTTCTCAGCTATTTCAAGTTGCCCACAATGGACTAGAGTTCTGTGAACAGTGGTGAATGCCTCCATGCTGTCAGTGAACTAAGAGAAATCTCAAAACGGTTATATGTCAGTCATATGCATAAAGCGCCTTAAAACTGAAAGGGAATGAGTCCTGTACTAGGAAGAACAAACTACTTTAGAGATGCGAGGTAGCCTCAGGATGGTGTGTTGAGGATGCGGGGGCATTATCCAGTTTTTCAGGTAGTTTTTACAAAACTACCAATGACTTCATGATCCAGGAGTCGTGTGCTCCACCAGAAGATATATCAGAATGCCATAGCTCACAAATGATCCCAAATTTCCCCCAAAGACCTAACAACCACTTTCCGTCCAACAGGCTGACAAGTTGCAGCAAATCGAACAAAAACGCCGGGAGGCCGCGGAGCAACTTGAGCGCGCCAAGGCGGAAGAGGAACTTGCAAGTCATTTGTGTGCAGTGGAAGCTTGGATGTCTCAGGCTGAGACTGTCCTAAATCCAAGCAAGGAATACGGTTTTACCGGGGGCTGCACATGTGCTAACTTGGATCAGCTGAAGAAGATGCTGGTCGATACCGTGGATGGACAAGAACAGGTGAGTTTTGACTGCGGTTAAACCACATTCCTATTTAGCTGGCCTGTTTGTTTGTGCTTCTATATATCCACTTGACTGTGGTATAAAATCGATATCATCGATATCGATTATTAAGCATCCTCACTGACTGCTAGCATTAGTTGGACATGTGGGTGCTGGTCACCTGATGGCAAACCCGTCCAAGGAAGTCGGACCACTGCCGACGGATCTGGAAGCATTCGTTGCTGCTGGTCTGCTGGAAGGATCGTCCGAACAGTTTGGTGTGGCAGCCGTAAACACCGAGTGAAAGGGCGATTGGTCTGAACGTACCGGAACAACAAGCCTTGCAGAACAGCATGCACCACCAAGACTATTTGACTCAGATGTAATTACGAACGGGATGAAGGAGAATTTTTCCACGGCAAAACCCAGTCGGAAAGCGGAAAAATATTTTCCAGTATAATCTTGAAAATAGTGGTAGTTTTTAAAAAGTTGTCATTGACCCCGATCCCTTTGAAATTTGGGATATTCTGGGAAGCGATTAGCTGTGGTACTTTCTGACTGTCCATTCGTATCCCTGCGTCAGTGACATTCCATTGCGGTTCTTTCTTTTTTGGCAGAGGGGATACCAGTGTAACGATGGATAATACTGATGAGACATACGAGCAGTGTCTTCTCATAGATCCGCTTCACGTCTGTTGAAAAGTAAGATCTATTACGGACTTTGTGGAGTCGCTTTATAGCATTTGGTTGCATTTGATTGACAGTCAATGGTTATCCAGGAAAGTTCAGGAAGACTCGTTCTAGGAGAAGATGGATATGAGGGTTATTCTCCCCTGTCTAATAGTCTGCACCTGTTCAGTTGATGTTTCTTCACTAGGCATCTCCACAGCAAAGGCCTTCTTCCTTCCACCAGTAGCCGGAACGCCACAGAGAGCCTTTTTACTTTTTGGTTTCTCTTCTTCCTTTACCAAAAAGCCTTGCATTTGGGACTGTTCCATCCGCACTAACGAGCTGCGTCACTGTATGGGAGCATAACGCCAAATGCTCCGAGAGTTTACAGGAAATTTTTCACCTATTTCCCCTTGAACGCATACAAATCATCATATTAACCTGAGTTGTTGCACTGTTCAAATTTTATCAGGCGCATAAACGGCTAACCCAAGCAATCCGTGTGGCAAACGAATCTCCTCTAAGCCCCCTGGATGGGGCTAATCAGGAGCGATTACGTAATGCGGAAAACTATCTGGTCACCGTGTTCCCCACGATAGAATCTCGTCTGAAAGATCTGGACGATTTGTACCAAGCAACGGGGCGCATTGAGAACAGCCTAAAACTGCTTGAGCAGAGCACGGAACATGCGCGGACATGGCTAAGCAACATCCCGCTCAAAATTGAATCGGACCACGTCGCCATGACTGACGAAGTGAGTCGACAGTTTACAGTACAAAAAAGTCTAGTCTGATTAACTGTTGGTCAATATGGCTTTCGGTTTTACCTGTAAATTTCAAAGCTCTCTATAATCCCCACCCCATGTTATGCTGCTCCGGACCTTCGGATGCGTCTGATACTACTGATTTCCAGAGTAGCATATGGTCCTATCTTCTATTGCAGTAATTTTCTACTGATCAAAGGACGATTTGTAGTGGTTTACTCACGTGGCTACGATTCTTAAATCTTACCATAACGCCTTTTACATTTTACCGTACTACTGACGAGTTTGATGGAAGCTCTTTGAGAGCCCACAACTGGTTTCACCTTTCCCATGCTGACTTATCAGTTAGTAATGTTTTCCGAGTTACAGTCAAAATTATGTTCTGCTTGAACCCTCATTGTGTTCTCAGCTAGTCTGAACAATTGAGGTCATACATGCTTCGTATGAACCACGGTACGCACCATACTACTCATATGGGTTACTAAAAACTCCTCAGTATGCCAGATCGGTTTCTCCTTTCCTGTTCGAGGTTATCACCTAGAGGAATTCGCCGAATTCTCACGGATGGCTCACAAGAAGTGAAGCTGAATCTACCGTTTATGGTATTCTTAAGACCGTGCCTGTCGGGTGAACTCCAAGAAGGGTGAAACGGTAATGGGCTCTCGAAGAGTTTTCAGCAACCTTGCGAGTAGTGTGTTGCGGTATCTCGTACCAATTGAAACATGGGACGGTCTGACGCAGCACATTCAGTTGAAGAACATCATAAGCCAGACATTCGGCTGCTATTCATGTTAGCCTTCTGTGAAAATCAAATCGGTATGCAAATGAGTGTATTTTTCCAGCATTCCTAATCCACTGACAACTTACCTTAGAAGGGGACCAGTCATGTTACATAGCTCTTGTGGTAAACGGGGCAAGCTTGAATTGAATAGTGGTGAAAAATCACAACGGTAAAGGTTTTTGAAGAAAACATGTAGGTCACCGTACTCTTCGTCAGAATCCCAAAGGATAACCTTCAGTGGTTAGATGCTGGGTTAGTCGAAAGCAAGAGAAAGTCAGAAAAACTGAACCATCTTGTTAACTAATATACACTCATTTGCAAATTAATTTGGTTTTTCGAAAGACTCACCTGGAATCCATTATGAATATACACGTATCGCGATGTCTCGAATATCGTACCAACGGAAACGTGAAGCGGCCTGGTGCAGCACATTCAGTTGCCTGAAAACATCACAAGCGAGAGATTCAGCTGGGTCACAGGTGAGTCTCTCGAGAGAACCAAATTAGTTTGCAAATGAGTGAGTGTCTATTGGCTAATTTGTGCAGGTTGGTTCAAGTGGAACATAAAGTTGATGGAAACTCGGGGGCTGCCCCTACCTGATTAGCCCAAAGGAAGGCGAAACCAGTCGTGGGCTGTCGACGGACTTTCAGCAACCTTACGAGTAATACATTACAAAGATATACATCTTGTTAACTGTTTAAATAGCACACCACGCACAAACTGCCCAATTTAATCGCACGGTTTTATCGGAATTTAACATGGATATTCTTCAAAATTGACAAGAAATTCGTGCGAATTAAAAATCTCCCATCAACGCTGACTGCGTGCACAAACTCAGCTGCGGAGGGTGAAAAACTACCTATAAAAGGGAACCAAACAGTCAACTAAAAGCACGCGTTACATGATACGAAATACATGCATGGATTCCGCTCCACAATGAAAAGATGACGGCGTAGTGGAATCAGACGTTTACACTGCCGTGAGTATCCTTTATCTATGGCAATGTCGATGTTATCCTGTGAATAATGCTTCAAAACGGGCAAAGCACAGAGTTATTTGGGTGGGCGGGCAAGTAAATCTTCGAATCGAGGCATGTATGTTCCCCTCAACCAAACACAATCAAGGTTGAAGGAAAACTTGAAAGCGATCCAGCCATTGGACTCCGCGCAGTTGAGTGAAGTAGTCATCAAAGCAACTTAGACGGTACGCGTATAGTGCAGGCAGAACTCTCGTCACACGTGGAATGGGCGTGCACGGAAGTACCAACCAAGCTGCATCAACCGTAGTGCTCGCGCCAACAAACCTCGGAGGACACAAGGGCCAGGTAGCCAGCCGAAATCTCAACACTGGCGCCCCACAGCAAACACAACATCAGCTGAAGCCAGATCCCTGGTCATAGCACACACAACCACGCGTACATGTGCACCGAGCTAGAGCACGCACGCTGGGAGTACGCTCGGGAATACGCTGCAATTGCGGACGTAGCACTTGGCCCGTATTCAGTTGACTGGAAGCTTCCTACGGCAAAAGGAAATTCGGATTCCCCTGAGCTGTGATTTAATTAAAACTTTCCATATAAGAGTGCGACCAGTTGACCTCATCGCCAACCCACGCACATGAGAGACATACCTTGACCAATTAGACAGGCTCTTGAATGTTGACCACATGCCAATGAGTATCAGTTAACCCCTGTTTCTACTGTCCTGTCGGATATGGTTATTTCTGCTCTTGACGAAGGGCAGCTTTGTGTGTCCCAAAAGGAGTTTTTTGGAAGGAATATTGATTCAATGGACAAATAAAGGAGCTTGATAATATGAGTTGTCTACGACTACCTCTGTGATGCAAGATCGTACAGCAAGGAATGAGCACGTGATTACGTCAATGTACAAAAAGTGCGACGTGTACAACTCACTACAAACGATTGGAAGCCAGATCTCCGTTTCACGAAAAAAAACAAGGAAGGTTACGGAGATGACTCAACAGTTAGGGCTCAGCTCATTTGAAAATGGGGAAATCAATGGTTTTGAAGATCAGCATGCAAGATAATTTCGTCAAAATTCAACGTGACGCTGGTTTAAACAGGATTGTGCATATTACTCGTCCAATAAGATAGTGTATGGCTTTTTTACCTTCCTGTTGTGTGCTGTAGAGTAGTTCTAATGAACGTGAGCTGTTTTGACTAATTGCTTTCCACGCACTAGCACTCGGAAAGGGAAATTGACGTTTATTCGGAAAATTTAAAAAAAGTTTTCGTAATGCACCACTCATAAGGTTGCTGAAAACTCGTCGACAGCTCACGACCAGTTTCGCCCTCCTTGGGGCTCACTAGGTAGGCTCAGTCCCCGAGTTTCCATCAACCTCATGTTCTACTTGAAACCAAATTGCACGAAATTAGCGAAATACACTCATTTGCAAACTAATTTGGTTTTCTGAGAGACTCAACTGGAACCAAGCTGAGTCTCTCGTCTCGTTTGTGATGTTTCCGGACAACTGAATGTGCTGCACCAGGCCGCCTCATGTTTCAGTCGCTACGCCATTCGAGATATCGCGATACGTGGATGGTCGTAATACACTATTCACAAGGACTTGTTTAACTGTGGCAAAATAGGTGACCTAAACTTCAAAGGCACACACCTATGGTATAGGACTGAAGCTCAGGATAGCTCAGTGATTAAGGCGCGAACTAATTGATCGGAAGGTCTGTGGTCCGATTACATTGCATTTTCGTGAGGCTGATATCGTAACTACTCACCCCGCAATTACTACTACTACTACATTCCCAGACAATCATTTTCATATGGAAGGAGAAGGTGACAGAAGTTCGAGGATCACCGCCAAAAAGGAAATCAAAACACCACGTAACTGATTATTCTAATTTCATACTTCTTTACTCCACGATCAATGAACTCTAGTTGGTAAGAGTACGCCAATCTCTCCTACACTTTCTGATGTCGAAACATTTTGAAGGTTTTTACTTTCTGTTAGTACATTAATCACGAGAAGTAATCTCTATTCGCCTATGTATATCAGGGGTCACGTGATTAATGCTAATATCTACCTTGCCGTTTCTATCCTTCACTCTCTCAGTTCGCAGAGATTCGCGGGAACATTGCATCTTGTCAGAATCAGATTGTGGAACTAGACCACTTGTTGCACACTGATCGTATGGTGACGCTGGCTAGCGCTTATGGACTGCAGGCCTGGATCCATCGTGATCGACTGAATCCGATTCAGGAACGGCTTAAGGTGAGCAGAATTGAAGCGGTCACTTTTTTTGGGATGAGATTTTCATCTTGGACCCTCACCACGTCTCAAAGTGGTGAAAGCCACTGAAAACAGGACAGGGGAATTCTTCTTAATTATCCTTGATAACTTATGGTAAAACAGGACTTGGACGGTTTTCCTTGGTGGAAAACTAGGGCCTGTAATCAAGGCTTTCCAAATACCGTCGCTTCTGTAGTGGCTAAAAACCAATACACTTCAGATATCTGGGCGATAGAGACTTTGGAAATCACACGAGGGTTTCCCAAATGGTACCAGGAACTTCAGCTGTTGACCTACTGGGTAATGTTATGGTGAGTTCATGCGGACTCACCTGTGCAGTTACTGCTTCTGACGGCGTTCGAGGTAGACAAGGAAGCCAGAAGACCCAGTCTCGAGGTCTGTCCAAGAACGTTGTCTTCTCGCTGGTGTTGTGTTTGTGTGTATTTGGCTCCGTTTTCAAATTAAGAAAGTGCGCGTTGGAAGTCAGTCTTCTACGTGTTCGGTTCCATAAAGCGTGTTTCACGTCTTTACTTGCTGAACCAATATTTCCATATGGAACTTAGTGGACTCACGTTGCAGTCTGATACTCAGTAAATCAATTTTGTACAAAACGCGGTCCATCGAGATTTACAAGCGGGGAGGGGAGTCATCTTAATTTAGATTGGTTAATCTTGATCAAACTGGCACAATTTTCCATTGAATTATTCTTCTACCTTCCAGGAGATCGAATTAACCGCAAAGCAAAAAGGTGAACAGCTTGAGGAATGGAGTGGAACTCTGGAAGAAATCCGCCATGAACTGGATGACGGTGAAGACGAATTCGAAGCCCTTCGTCACGCCGTGAACAGAGCGTCTCGTCGCGACATGGCACGACTACTCAGACAGATTCAGGTAATAACCGCAAAATAAATATGAAAAAAAGGAATTTTAATTTGGCGGATTTACAATATATATATATATATAATGTTCCAATGCACCTGATCAAGTTACTCAATCAAAAACAGGCTAAGTCCCTCCTGGTAAACTTCGGTAAAATCATTCACCAGTAGGCTAAATCCAGAACCCAATGTTCAGCTTTCTAATAATTCACTTCACTTGCCTGTATGGGGCGATCTGGTTGTTTATGACAGTATCCTAAGTTCCAGTTGAAGTCGGCTTCAAAACTCATACATACCTGCGTGTTTACATGACTATCGATTGAGCAGTTCTGAGCGTACCCAGGTACAGTTTTCTTGTTGATCTACACTGGACTCGGATTTCGTTCTTACGATGGATTATAAGTACTGCACACCCTTGAACGTATGGGAATTTAAATTCTGGCAGCCTTACCACAATCCAGCCAGCGAACGCCCGACGCGTCTGAATGAGTGAACGCGTTCGCGCTTGGGCGATTTTGCTGGGTTTTCTCAGTGACCTAACCGACAGCCTGTTGACTGTTTTGGTTATGTCGATCGACTGTCCCACCTGTTTCCAGAATAGAACAAATGAGAGGTCATACACTACTCATAGGAATGCTGAAAACTATTCAACATCCCACGACCAGTTTCACCATCCAACTTCAGGCTCATCAGGTAGGTATAGTCTTAAAGTTTCCGGCAGCTATATGCTCTACCTGAATCCGAACTGGACAAACTTTAGCAGACACCCTCATTTGCACAGAACTGTGGTCTTGACGGGAGACTCAACTGGGTACGGTTGAATTTCTCGTGCATGATGGCATCGCATATTCATTAAAGCATCACGAAAAGAGAGATGCAGCTGGACTCAGTTAAGCCACTTGTCAAACCATATTCGTGTACAAGTGACAGCGGTCGTCAAGAGCACATGAGACTTCACGGGGTTTAGGCTATCACTGAATTGTATTTACAAATGCGGACAACTTATACAAAGTCCACATACTGGTGGGTAAACGGGCAACTTTAAATGATGGATCTTGTTCTATTCGTTTCGGGGTGTTACTTGCGAAATTGTTTAAGTACTTGTTGCCGAATATCGTGTAGTTGGACCCAACGCGATCGTCCCATCTTTACGAAGAAAAAACCGTTGACATTCGTCGTTTGTGTTGGAAATATGGAAAAATCACTTGTAATATGGGGTAAGGCGCTTGAGCAGAGGTAAGATGTCATTTACTGAGACTGTATCCACTTTCTTTGTTGATACACTACTGAGAAGTCTGGCTCAGTGGTGCCTCCACATGGTAGGGTAACTTAATGACGCAGTGTTGAGGTTCCCGATACGGATCTTCAATGCACACGAAGATTTGACGATCCCCAATGTCAAAAGGGAGAACTGGGCCCGAAAGTTTGCGGTACCAGTTAAACAATAAAGATCAAATTTGTGGGTCAAACCTCAACTGTTCACGTTCGTCTGTTACCTACCGGTACATTGCTAAGGTTCACACATCAAACGGCGGCCAGCGGAATGTTGGCTCTGTAGTGTGGCGTGTGGTTTCCGCTTCAGAGGCGGTGCCATCACGCAGAAGTCACGAAGGAACAAGTTAGGGGAGACTCAGCAATCGGGGCGCAAACACACATGAATAACTATGACATTTGCGCTTATCCACACACACACTCATGCGATGGGATGGCTTTTGTACCAAGGTAAACGGCAAATACGGATGGGCAAAAAACGGATGATAAAATGCGGGTGTGTATCGTACCATAGTGTTTCCCCACAGCGTTCGGAGTTTTTCTCTGCGCTAGCGAGAGTAAAACACATGACAAACGAACTGCCTAAAAGCCAATAAGGAAAATAATCATTCAAACACACCATTCACTCGGTGCCTGGCCACTGGCACAAGTGAAGGGAAGATGAGAGCCAATTTGCGTAGGCCTAAACAGCGGGGTTCGGGTTCGAACTACGGACCTTTTGGTCAGTAGGTTCGCGTCTCTGGAGGTTCGAAGCAGATGCAGTAGGACGACACAAATGTTATCCCGGAAAATAGGCTATCAAGAGCATCTGACGTTTCATCTTGTGATGAGTTAACGACGAGTCGTACTTTAGTACATGCTGACCGTCTTCTATGCTGCGGCCAATTCCATTCGGTCGAAGGGTAATCCATTCAGTAGGCAGCTCTGACATTCGGTGAGGTCTTGGATTTAAGACTAGTATTTATCCAAATAGATGAGCATCGTTCTGTCGTACTTCTTGAACATCTTGTGAAGTGATACTTTCAACGACAGCGCAGAAGTTTCCATACTCAATTCATTCGACATCTAAACTACGCCCCATAAGTATCATTGCAAACTGCAATTTCAGGTAGTTGGTGGGAGGCAAAGGTAATGATGACAGTCAGAACAAACATAAAATAAACTTCCATTGATGCTTCGAAAACTTCGATGTGGGTAGCCTAAATGTAGCCGGGGTTCGCTTGAATTTCGCATGGTTATGTGTGATTAACTAAGGTACTGGAACCTTTAGTTTCTACGAAAATTCACTCTATACATGATCACTTGCGCAAAAAGTACCAGACTGTTATTGGCTGTTGGCGTTGTTGCGAAAAATAGGTGGAGTAAGCTACTAGATTTTTGGTCCATTCAGCGAGCTTAGAAGTTGGATCCCAATGTGGCTTATCATTCTGGGGTTGAGTGGATAGGCCGTCGGTATTCTGCTTGTGCTTATATAGTTTCTAAACAGCACCTAGTTTGTTTAAAGTGAGTAGCTATCACAGATTTTCGAGTAATCTGGTTCGTCAACCTGAAATATGTATTTGTTGTGATCTCATTCCGTTGTATCTGGTTGGTTCTTTGGGCGTCTCGAGTTCAGCAGTTCCATTCCTTAATTGTAACTGGACCGTTTCCTTCTTGCCTTGCGATCTCATTTCGTCCCATTCGTTTGGCTGACTGAACAGTCTTCTGTTTTTCGAAAAAGTTTGGTGACAATCGGTAGATTTATTGCTGGACAACGTTTCGCTTTTGACACAAAAGCTTCGTCAGGCCAAGCGACTAGGTTCCGAGGTTGGTTGAGTTTTAAGGCGGAAGGAGAACCAATCAGCTAAGTCAAGCTGAATCTCTGTTGGGTGTCGGCCGAGGGATTTTAGTGT